CAGCATTCCTGTTGTGATATGGAACCTTTTGGTACAATGTCAGAGAGATCCATACACTAACACACAAGTTATGTCTGGAAGTTACAAAAAATGCTTATTTTTGGCCCCTTTTTGGCCCCTAAATCCTTAACTGTTGGTGCCATAACCTCCAAAATCAATCCCAACCTTCCTTTTGTGGTATTGAACCTTATGGTAAAATTTCATAGAGATCACTTCACTTAAACTAAAGGTAGAGTGCAAAAACCAATGTGTCTAAGGACGACGACGATGCCAACGTCATACCAATATACAAGGTCGTATAAAAATCAAATAAAAAATATTCATTCAGAGGATGTTGATTCTAAAATTTACCTTGAATAAATATCTTCCTGTAGTTTTGTTGTAAAATCAAACAGTTGACATATTGGTAAAAATGACAAAACAAAATCCACATTGTCTGAAAATTAAAGAAAAAGAAATTAGTTATGTTACATTTTTTTTTGTTGAAGAGGTAGTATCAACTGTTTTCACCAAAACATAGGTTAACTATTTTCTCTCAAGATTATAATACGTTTTGAATATAAAATATAAAAGAGAGGTATTTTAGTGTCAATCCTAATATGCATTATGATCTTAATTTTTTTTATCAAGAAGTAATGTGTTTGTTGTCCCTACAAAAACTCCTTTGAAAAGTGGCCCATATTCATATAACCATGTATTAACCAATTAATGTACTAGCATACAAAGTTCTATTGATTATATTTCTCGTTTGACATTTTTCAATATAGGGGCTTTTATAGCTGACTATAGGTTATAGGTATTTCTCATTGTTGAAGGCCGTACACTTGCCAATAATTGCTTACATCCACTTCATTTGAATTCTGGCGGATATTTGTCTCATTGGGGATTATACCAAATCTCTCTATTTTCATATAATATTGGTAACGAAGTTGCAAAAGCCTTATCTGAACATCTCCCCTAATAACTGTACTTAGCAAACATAATTGTACTAACTAGAAGATCCAAGTTTCATATATTCATGAAGGTTTAAATTCACATTATTTTTCTTCTCACCAAAGTCGCGAAAAATAAATCGCTTGCGAAAATTAGTTGGTTTATAGTATGAATTTAAGATTAACTTTTAAAACATGATGAAATGAATGAGATTGTGAGTGTGTTACAGTAGAAGTCATATTCATCATGTGAGCAATGCTGTAATTCAAAGAATAAGATAAGTGTGGAAAATCGGATTAGTAAATTCACAATACACAAATGTTGTCAACTGAGAAGTCAAATAAAAGGGTATACATGTACTGGGACTAACAGTTAACAGTTCTATTCACAATTTGTCTAGTTCATAATCATTTTACAGTAGAAAAATAAACTTGACTTGTCCTCAGTATCATCCAACTTATATTTCACCCTCTCTTGTTAACTTGTTGTTTTAAAATGAACAAAAAGTATGTGTCCATAAGACAGCATCACATTTCTATGTTCAGTGAAGCATGTAATTCAAATCAAAACTATAATTTGGTATACAATTTAAAAAAGCTCACATCTTAGTGGTCATTATGAGGTACTTAGTTTTATGGTAAACTACATTAACCAAAAACTTTGACCTGATAATTGGGACAGAAGGACAGAGGGACGATACACAAATGGATAGGTGCAAAGACCAGAAAACACAATGATCTCTGTTACTGTAGTTGGGACATAAAGATAATGAAAGCTGAAGTGGAATATATGTTTGTGCATACTTTATTTCGCATCACGTTCTTTCAAGACAACTTCACCATGATTTATTTTTCGTGATCTTTTCATTTTTATGATATATTTTATATAATATATAAGGGAAGATCCAAGTTTCATATATTCATGAAGGTTTAAATTCGCATTATTTTTCTTCTCACCAAAGTTGCGAAAATAAATCGCTTGCGAAAATTAGTTGGTTTATAGTAAACACATTGAATGAACTACAAGGAGACAGTATCCTAACATAAACACTAAAATACTAAAAATACATACACTTTAACCAATTGTACATTTGATAAATTCGAAAAGGGTTATAGTGGTAGGAAGGAGATCTCCCCTTATAACTGTCCTTGGTGAATTTAATTTGCAAAATGAATATACTTAATTTACCCTAAAAAAAACACTATTATCTAGGGTCTTTCATGATTGATTTGTTATTAAATGTCAATTTCAACACTCTAAGCTACATGTATATGTGATGGTGGCCTGTTTTTTATTGGTGGAGGAAGCTGAAGTATTTGGAGAGAACCCGAACTATGGGGATAAAATATAAAAATCCTAGATAGTCAATTAAGATCAGAGTTGAATGCATCTGCAAGTGCAGACTAATGATCACTAAAGGTTAACTACTTGTACCACATGGCCATCAAGGCCCTTACTGGGGTTATCAGAAAATATATCTATTCGTCAAAAAAAAATCTGTAATAAAGGGGTCAATAAGAGAATGTTATACACTCCAAACATTCACTGAAAACAAAATTTTGTTTAGACCATGAAATTCAAAATTCAGAAAAAGAGCATAGCAAGTTCCCAATTTTTCAAAATATAATTTTGGCCAAAATTGGCTTTAATGTTTCCTCACCCCACAAATAAGCCCAACTGGATAATAGTTTAAAATTGTAAACAAATAAAATCAGATAACTTTTAGTGCACATTTGTTAATAAATATCTAATCATACTGATATTTAACATGTTTAATATATCATACTTAAATCATATGATGTATAGGGTTAGGGTTAGGGTTAGGGTTAGGTATACAATTTAAAAATAGATGGGATGAACCAGACGTAAGCAACATAATTTTTGGATGTGATCTACCTCTTCCCTAGGTCAAAAAAAATATAGTTTTGTTTCCTGCCTCCCTACATTTTTTAGCCTACTCCTACACATTTCATGAATAATTTTTGGTGACAGTCAAGTAATTTTAAAGTTCAGACATTTTTGAATAAGCAGCAAGTCCATTTACATTGCCTAATATCATCTAGGGAAAATATTTGTTTTCTAAAAATAAAATATTTTACCAACCTATTAATAATATATGCATTCTTTTTTGTCTGGAAACAGGAAAAAATTTGTAAGGGTTCCGCGAAACCCAGTGTCTCGCCTACTTTGCTGTTAGTCACAGGCTCAACAAAAATGGGTAAAAAATTATTGAAAATTTTCCTCTAGATACTATCTTTTGATTGTAAGAAGTTCTGTTCAAGTTTGGTAAAAATCAAAGAAGGTTTATGAATCTAATAAATGTTTTAAAAACTTTAACTGCAGACTGTACGTAATGTTAATTGGAATAAAACTAAGTCCATTTATATGATATATACGGAAAAGCAGGAAATACATTTTTACAAAATTTCTTTCTAGATACTAGTTTTTGATCATAAACAAGCTTCTGTCCAAGTGTGGTACAAATCCAGGATAGTTTAAGAAAGTTATTAAAATTTGAAAAACTTTAACCACATAGTGAATGTAATGTTAACTGGCAGAAAAACTTAAAGTCCATTTATAAGTAAAAAAACGGAAAACAGGATTTTTTTTTTTACAAAATTTACTTCTGGAGACTATCTTATTATTATAAACAAGCTTCTGTCCAAGTTTGGTACAAATCCAGGATAGTTTAAGAAAGTTATTAAAATTTCAAAAACTTTAACCACAGAGTGAATATTTGTGGACGCGGCCAACAACCCCGACGGAATGTAGGATCACTATGTCTAGCTTTTGCGACAAAAGTTGCAGGCTTGACAAAAAGGGTATACATATTTTTGTGGCCTATCAGACAAAATAGTGAAGATTTAAAACTATACTGTCTTGTCAGGTTAAAATGAAGTAATTGCTTACATAGGCGACATTGGTAGCCTATATTGGTTCTGCATTTTCACTATAAAAAATCTGTTGAAAAAACTGTCAAATAATGAATTTTCAACACCTTTGGGTGTGAATACAACTTCTAAACTGGCATATGGTGCCACATCTTTTTTGATAGAAAAATGGCATTTTTTAAGGGTACTCTATGGTTCTGGAATTTTCGAAATAGTATGAATGAAAAACACCCCTTGCTTAATTTTGCACAGAAAATTTTGCTCATTACAAATAGTTTCCTCCATATTCCTCACTATTTCTATACCAAAAGCCAACATTCATTTCTCACTATTTCAATTTGCTTTTCTAATTAACAGGGCAGCAGATAATAAATTAACTTCTACCTATTATCTTGGATGTAAAAACTGGGTGGCGCCAGTCATGTTTAATTACTTCCTTTTAACATTCATAGGAAATGCTTTGTAGTCAATTAAACAGCAGGCATCAATATTATATTCCCCAAAAAAACCTCCAAAACTAAGGACCCTCTGAATTATCTGTCTATATCAAGAGTGCTTATAAAAACGAGTAAACAAGTGAAACTGCAAGCTACTGCTCAATGATGATACCCCCTCCCAAATATGGATAATTTTAATAGTGTAAAAATATGTAAGTGTTCGGTAAACAGGAAGTTGTTGAGTGATGAATCTGAAAACGCGTCACACAGTATAGCTGACATATATAAACCCTGAAACCAAATTTCAGAAATCCTTATGATGTAGTTCCTGAGAAAGATGCGACAAAAAATATTCATGGGACAGATGGACGGACGGATTGACAGACAGAGGTAAAACAGTATACCCCCACTTTTTTAAAAATTCACAATTAAGCAAACCTAGACCGTTAAAATCTCAAATGAGTTGATCATTTTAAAGAAACAGTTGTAGTTTCTACTGTACAAAGGACATGTAATGATGTGTCCTTCATGTTATCTCTTTGTTTAACTTCATCTTTTTATCTACTGTTAATAGTCCATTATTTTATCCAATATTATCAAGTACATTCACCTCCAGATATCAATTAGCAAAGAGGTGCAAATTTAACCTTCTATATTCAAAATGTGAAATGAATACATATATATATATGTATCAGTGAAAAGCGATTTTTTTAAATTGATATTTGTGTCGTCAAAACATTAAAATAACGGATCACTGAAATTGATCTGTTATGAAATATTCATACATTTACAAATGCTGGGACCCAGGATGTAGTTACAAAGTGGTAAATAATATTCCTAATTGCAGAAGCTCATCCAGTTAAGACCCCAAAGTTATTAAGAATGGCTCAAAACATCATCCTATGCCAATTCTGTGAAATTTCTTTCGAAATTACGTGGAAATGTTTTAACTGTGACCTTGTCCCATGTAGCAGATGTACAAAAAACCATTCAAAATTTGGTGGATCTGAGGACCATTGTATTATTGACTTAAACAAGATTGGAAGTCCAGAAAATGTTGAAATAATTCGAAAGTTTAATCTTAGAAACATACGATGCACAACTCACAAGGAGGAAAGATGTCCTCTTTTCTGCAAGGATTGTAATAAACCTGTTTGTTCTTTTTGTGTCATTGAATCTGAACATAGAGGTCATAACATTGACAAACTTATCACTGTGTACAACAATCAACTATCTGATCTGAAAGACATCAAAGAAAGGATAGAAAAAAATTACTCTGATCTCAAAATAAGTGTAAAGGAAAGTACTTCAACAAGTGACAATTACAATGAAATAAAAGAAAAAATCATCCAAAGGGAAAAAGAAATAAAAGAAAAAGTTTCTGAACAAGCTGCATTTCTCATTAATGAACTTGATAAACTTATTGTACCAAGTAAAGATGCCTTCATGGAAGAGAAACAGAGGATTCAAGAAAGGGAAAGTAAGGTAAAAGATACAAACAAATTAATTGATGAAGCATTACAATCCCATCAAGCAACTTATGTACTCGAGACTATTCGCAAAGTGGATAAACATTTACAGCTAAACGTGAATGCAGATAATATACCACTACATCAAAAATTCATGTTTACAGTTCCAGATTCTCTTAGTATCAATTTTGGATCAGTGAAAGAATGTCCAATGTTCAGGATCATCAACACATATGAAACAAATGTGCCTTGTATTGAAAAACTCAAGAGTTTAAAAAATGGAACTTTAGTCTTTTTTTATGAAAAAGGTAGGAACGAATTCATAGAATACTGTGATATTCAAGGTGACCAATGTATATTCAAATATAAAACCTGTATCGTATCATTTATTGGGAAAGGAAAAGGGAAAGTCCATAATATGACTGTTACTGAAGATGACATAATATTGGTCACTTCTGATTGGGGGAGTAACTCTAATAAAATACTATGTATGAATGCATATGAAAACAATTTAAAAACTTCGAATTTTGCAGCAATTCTACAAACAAATACAATCTAAACAATGGAATACATTCATTTAACCACACAATTTTAATTGCATTTCAAGGGTACCGGTATAGTTGTGGTTATTTAATTGATAAACTAGCCAAGGGTGTCATGATCCTTGATAAAAAAGGATATTGTTAAGAAACACTATGGATCACAGAGAATGATTCGGATTGTCAGAAAATTAGAAGTATAGACTAACAACAAATACCAATGGGGACATAATTATCTGTGACCAGCATAGCCTTTCTGGTGTAACACCACTAATTCGGCCCGGCCAGAAAGCACATACCAGAAAGTAGTACATATTAAACACAAAATAGTTCCTACACATGAGTGTAACTTTCAAAATATGTAGAATATTTAGGTATTGTTGGTATCAAATGAAAGCTGAATGACTGGTGATCATTGTAGAACACTTTTTGACTTATAATTTTGAATATTAAAAAAACTGCACCAAATTTATAAAGAGGGTACTTTTTGCCTGTATGTCAGATCTGAAGTACCTGTTTTGGTACATCCGAAGTTCCGGGAACCAGTTCTTTCTTATATGCCATTAAAGGTATGTTGATTTTTCCAGTACAAGACACCATAAAGTGTTGCTTTGACATGCAATGAGTGTCACTTTATTTGAACTTGAAACAAAAGAGCTGTGTCTGCTTGAAATTGAGGAATTTAACATAGAAAGCAATGGGGCCATGAATTAGTGGTGTACTTCCTTCTGTATTTGATTCCATGTTCAAATTCAAATGGACTTATCAAAATCTTATGAGCCCTAATGGCATAGTCACAACACCTAATGGACAGATTGCTGTAACTGACAGAAACTCAATACATTTATTCTCTATGGAAGGGAAACACCTCAACAGTATTGGTGAAAAGGAAGGTATCTATCATCCTACCTGTTTACATATTAACAAGAGTGGTCAACTGCTCGTTGCATGTGAAGGATCAACAAAAATTGAAGATTCAAAAATTCATGTGGTTGAGATAATTGATCATCTATGTTTTAGAAAAGTTGATACTGAAAAGTGATCATTGTTCTTAAAAATCAAATAAACATTATGACATTAAAAAAAATTAAAAGAATTGTCTGTAGAAGAGATATTTAATAAACATTTTTACAATTGAAATTTTTCTACTATCATATTCAAGTCACAACACTAATAATAAACCAGAATGCATATTCATACTCATAATTCAAAGTATGGCATGACCAACCTGAAACCAGGGTTTTATTCCACAAAAAATGTTTTGGGGGTTTTCTAACATTTGTCTGCCCTTATAACCAAATTATATAAATATTAACTGGGTTTCATGCAAGTCGCAATTGACTTTGTGAGTTTGACTGTAAGTTAACAAAACAAAAATTGTACCCTGTTTTTAAAAAATTGCATAGTACCCAACCATACAGATTTTCTGGTTCAAGGTTTAAGAGATGTTCATTAATGTTAAGATTTTAAGTTAAGTGTTGATTGTGAATCTGAACCATATATCATGGGTATTTTTTGGTATAGCATTTTTTTTTATGTAGCATGTACCTGCACCTTAACAATGAAGATGAAGATGAATTGGCAATTAACTTCCATCGAAAATATGACATGCATATCAAGACAAAAACATGCTAATGTGATATGAAGATTAAAGAGAGAGGTGGTAGATACAGATAAACTCATCATAGATACCAGGCTTAAAATTTTGCACAGAAGATGCACTTTTTGTCATCAGTGACACTCGAATCCAAAACTTAATAAAGGTAATAAAAAGTAAGAAGTTGAAGAGGGACATTCAAACTCATAAGTCTAAAACAAACTGACAACACCATGATCAAAAATAATCAAAGTGCTGGATAGCACCTGTGGAAAGTTTGCAACAGTAGATGTGTATTATTCCAAATAGGTTGTAGATGTGTATTATTTCAAATATGTATTTAATTACAACTTTGATGTTTTTTTACTAAATCATTGTCTTAACAGCAATTATCAAAAATCTGTTGTTTGTCATGCAAAATTTTGATATTTTCTATTGCAACCTTAAACTGTAGGTTTAAAATAATCCAGTATACAGAAAGCTCTGTTAATTTCTTTATGTGCCCATTCCATGTCAAGGGCCTGTGATTTTAGTATTTTTTATTGATTCAGGTCCTTCATATTTGTTTTTGGTAAATTGTATTGTTACTAATATGACCAGACAATTTGTACTGTGACGTGTGAAATTAGTTTTAAACAACATTTTCTTAATTCAAATGTTTAATTCTATGTTTATATTTTGCAAATATTTCATTTCCTATTTTATTATTTGGGACTTTGTCTTAAATTTAGAGATAAGTTTTTTTACATAGATTTAATGTCATAATCGTGGACAAATGACTGAATTTCATTTAGTCTATTCATTTAATTATTTATTCTCTGTGACAGTTTGGACAATAATTTACACATACGTGTCGGACACTAATTACTCTTTTAATCTATTGTTATTTCTATTTGGCATCTGTGTTGTTCACCTGGATCTATGTGCATTTTCAACAATGGCAAGTCTTCAACATTAAAGTCTAAAATATAACTCATGACTGATATCTCTTTTTTGTCTATTTTGCATTGCTGATAATTTTTTCAGTTTATCTATCTTTTATAGTTTTTGTATTGTAAAAATCATCTTAAAGAACCAAAACTCATACAGGGAGTCCACTGAAATTTCAGCCTTGTTGATATATTTGCAGATGTTCAGGCCTCTACAATAACCTTTTTTTCAACTTGTCCAATAGGACAAGTACATACTAAAATTTACTTGTCCGAATGGAATTGTAACTTGTCCGAAAAAAAAACCCTTTATATTATCCTTTTTTGCATTTTAGATTGATTGAATGAACAAAATAGTTAAAACAATAGAACAGAACTTGATTTATATCTCTTGATATCCTTTTAAAAAATATGAGTTGAAAAAAACTGAATCTGTCAACATGTCTAGTCACAGGACTTAGGTTCTAGTTTTCATCAATGCCAAAGTCTCATCAGACTCTGCACATGAGGCACAGTCTGGTAGGCCTGTTAGTCTACACTCATTTGGTTTGTATCCTGGTCTTTTATGTTGATAAAATATTGATTATTATGATTAATGCCTTACTACAATCAGCTTTGTTTTTAATATATTAAAATGTTTATTCAAACACAATCAAATATTGTTTTGTCTAAATATGATCAAATATGATTTTATGAATTTTATGGTCAATAATTTCTTCATTTTTATTTTAAAAATATTTTTGTTAAATAAAATTTATCATATATTTATTATAAAGCAACAGAATAACATATTAGGGAAAAAGGTACTGGATTGTCTCTGGATTGTAAGACTGGTTCCCAGAATAGTATGCATTTTATCTGTTATAAAGTATCTGACAAAGAACCAGTTTTAAATAAACGATCGCCAGTAAACAATTGCCAGTAAACGTGTCAAATTAATATCTATCTTCATCTTCTTTCCTTGTTTTTTGTTTATTACTTTGATCATTAAAGTCGGATTTAATTTATTTTCTACAGAATGATTTAACTTGTCCCGTTAGACAAGCTTGATATGGCTTTTACTTGTCCGACCTTTTTTTCCTCTGGTACCAGACAATCGGACAAGCGTTATTGTCGATCCCTGATGTTGTATTGCTGTTTCCAATTTTTCCTTATCTATCATTAAAGGGCAACAACTCCTATAAGGAGTCTAGCTACCAATAATTTCAGTATGATGACAATTTTGTAGATCTTGTCATGCTGGTCATTTTTGTAATTTAAAGTTTCTTTTTATTATAGTTTTCAAAATTAGACAGAACACAAAAAATTAAACAAGAGTGCACACACTGAAATGTCTCACCTTTTTTACTAATCATTGATATTATGTTGATAGTTCTAAACATAAAGCTTTACTACAACTATCACATAAACTTAACATGATCCAAGAAAATGAGGTCAGGGTCATATAAACCAAACAAGAAATACATGTACTTTCAATACACTAAATATAGTTGACCTATTGCTTATAGTTTCTAAGATACAGACTTAACCAAGAAAACTAAACATTGACTAATGAACCATGAAAATGAGGTCAAGCTCAGATGAACCATGCCAGGCAGACATGTACAGCTTGCAATCCTGCCATACAACAAATATAGTAGACCTATTGCATACAGTATAATAAAAACAGACCAAAACACAAAAACTTAACACAGCTATAAAACGTGAAAATGAGGTCAAGGTCAAATAAAACCAGCCAGACTGACATGTACATCATAAAATATTTCCATACACCAAATATAGTTGACCTATTGCATATAGTATTAGAAAAAAAGACCAAAACTCAAAAATTTAACATTGACCACTGAACCATGAAAATAAGGTCAAGGTCAGATGACACCTGCCAGTGTGACATGTACACCTAACAGTCCTTCCATACACCGAATATGCTAGACCTATTGCTTCTAGTATCTGAGATATGGACTTCACCACCAAAACTTTACCTTGTTCACTGATCCATGAAATGAGGTCGAGGTCAAGTGAAAACTGTCTGACGGGCATGAGGACCTTGCAAGGTATGCACATACCAAATATAGTTATCCTATTACTCATTATAAGACAGAAATTAACATTTCAAAAAGTCTTAACTTTTTTTTCAAGTAGTCACTGAACCATGAAAATGAGGTCATGGACAATGGACATGTGACAGACGGAAACTTAGTAACATAAGGCATCTATATACAAAGTATGAAGCATCCAGGTCTTCCTCTTTCTAAAATACAAAGCTTTTAAGAAGTTAGCTAATGCTGCCGCAACCGTAGCCACTGCTGGATCACTATCCCTATGTCGAACTTTCTGTGACAAAGACAAAAGTCGCAGGCTCGACAAAAATAATTGTCAACTTTGCTATCTCTGTATATCAGAAAATGCCACTACATCAAACCATAGTCATGTTAGTGAAGATATATCACTTTAAAATGTGTCAAACATTGTCATTTAAGCTAGCAGAGGGGTTCAATTTATTGTTTACAATTTTTATATCTATAACTGATTAATAGAAATACAGTTCTATATACATTACTAGCCAACAGATTTTGTCCTTTTTTCAAAGGTGAATATAAAATTAGAAGATGTGGTATTATTGCCAATGAGACAACTCTCATTAGAGACCAAATGATGTAAAAGTTAACAACT